CCACCTGATGGTGAGTGGTTACCGTCGCCCATGGACTTCAGCAGTGCCAGGAGCAGGACATGTCTTAGCGCTATTAATCATATTAATGCGAAAATTATCCTTGTAATTAAAGATGCTTTTTATTTGGTATTAGTATCAACAATTCAATGTTTTTAATTGAGCTTCAATTAAGTTTACCCCATACAAATTTGTAGCTGTAGAAATTATTTTGTTATAATATTTTTTCTAAATATGATCTTTAAATAGCTCTTCTGTAATGTTGCAAAAATTTCCCTTAAACTTGCCTTTCACGCATATTCCATACATTTTTCTTATTTCTCAAAACTTCAAAAAGATTCATTCAATAAAATTATTCTTTGGTTACGATGGAGATACAGCAATTTTATTGTTAGCGAACAGACGTACATCAGACGACACCCACACAAATGTGATTCATACGTAGGTACCTACATGTTACGCTTCGTTCGTCAACTATCAATTACATTCACAGTTCTCTTTGATACAAAGTATGTATATTGATAGCGGTGGGTTTTGATATTTTAAAAAGAAAGTTATATTGTTGTTGTATGACATCTAATCTATGAATCGCTGTTCGTTAGTCTCGCTAAAACTCGAGAACGGCTGGACCGATTTGGATAATTTTGGTCTTGAATTATTTGTGGAAGTCCAGAGAAGGATTAAAAGGTAGATAAATATGAAAATGCTCGGAATTAAATAAAAATAACAATTTTGTTTTTCCTTTGATGTGGCCCCCGTCGGACGGATTCCTTTTGTTTGTTTTAAGTTTATTTTATACAAAAGCTTAGGTCTTTTATTTATCGATTGAGGCACTACGAAGTCTGCCGGGTCAGCTAGTAATCTAATATAAATGCAGATGAACAATTAACTATATATCGGGTGGTTACCAGAGCACGAATACCAAACTTTTTTGATAACATTTAAAAATTCGCGCGCGAATTCCGACCTGTCGCTTAACTAACAATTTTAACAAAATTAATTTTGTACTTTGAAGGATTCATAGACTATTCTGTATGTCTAGAAAAGGATTAAGTACTATTTCCGTCTATTTCAAATAAAATATCTTAAAGTATTCAGATCGAAGAACAAAGAAATTTCTATTTTCCAATTATATTTTTGGAGTTTACCATTAAATAAGAATTTTGCTTAAGCCACGTCAATTCGGTGCTATGTATTAGGGAGAACTGAAACAAACAGTAGCTGACCTCAGTGTTCTTAGAGCGCGTTTTTTAACGTTCTCGATATCGAAAAAGTTAACTCAAACTCGCACCGCCTACTATTGAATCAAATGATAACAGATTCAAAAAATTGGTCACCAACCGCTGAGATCAAATATCCTTTGGATCCTTTGGAAATTTTTAAGTGAATTAAATAGCGCAATTCTCTGAATCTGCATGCATGAGCATGATCTATTTTAACTTGCAAGGCAGAGATAACAATATCTTCCGAGATATTAAAATCAAGGTTTTGTTTATCTAACTACAGAGACATCAGTGAATTTGATGAAAAATAACTCTTTATTCTAGTATCGCTGTGACAGAAAAAAAATGAAACTTAACTTCGGACAATGTAAATAAAATATGCTATATTTTTATATCAAACCCGACGAGAGATAGAAACAGGCGGAGAAAATATTTATTCACTAAAAACACAACCTAGCGTTTAAAAAAAAGATTTCTTCCAACTAGCTCTCTAATGGTAGCCAATAAAGATTGGAAGATCCAATTTTAGTATTACTTTGAGAATGTCGACAGCAAATCGATCGAAAAATCTTTTCATCAAAATTGGAAATTTGACCTAAATTAATCTTATTGTATTACAAATCCAATTACTTTCGCTTCGTATAATAACGTTCCTATGATCGGTTTTTTTTTACAGACTACAGAAAAACAATGCATTGTTAATTTTACAGAGGAATCTAATCAATTTGAAGTCGTCGTGGCCTAACGGATAAGACGTCCGGTGCATTCGTGTTGAGCGATGCACCGGTGTTCGAATACCAGGCGGGTACCGATTTTTGTAATGAAATACGTACTCAACAAATGTTCACGATTGACTTCCACGGTGAAGGAATAACATTGTGTAATAAAAATCAAACCCGCAAAATTATAATTTGGGTAATTACTGATGGTAGGATCTCTTGTGTGTCTGGGCGGGTAGGTACCACCGCCCTGCCTATTTCTGCCGTGAAGCAGTAATGCGTTTCGGTTTGAAGGGTGGAGCAGCCGTTGTAACTATACTTGAGACCTTAGAACTTATATCTCAAGATGGGTGGTGCATTTACTTTTGTAGATGTCTATGGGCTCCAGTAACCACTTAACACCAGGTGGGTTGTGAGCCCATCCACCCTACTCAGCAATAAAAAAAAATCTATCTAAACTATTTCTTTTACATAAGAAGGTAGATTGTAGAAGTGGCATCTGTTTGTGATTATTGCGCATAGCTCAATATAAAGCCGTCTATTCCAGTCTTGTATCTCCGACTCGTATATTACATAACAACAAAGGGAATAAATCTCTTACACCGAGCGGCTGACATTGCCAATAAACTGAATTATCGTTTCGATAAAATCGTACGAAATATTTTTGTGCTAAGAAAACCCGCAATGGTTGGTGCCAGTAATGTGCTTTAAAAACAAAATCGAGACTTAGGATTATGTCTATGAGCGAGCGGGTTTGAAGCTTTGATGTTTATTAGCTCCAATTCGACTGGATAGATTAGAGCGGATAAGGAGCTTTCCAAATTGGGTATCATATCCAGGCCGTAGAGCTTAAGAACTTTAAACACAGCCGTAGCAAGCTTCATTAACATCATAATTATCCTGCTCTTCTCCCAGTCACTTGGGGTCAGCGCAACATGTTTTCTCCTTATCATATACCATTTCTTCGCTCACTCCCCTCTTACCCATATCGTCTTTCACGCAAGCCTCATTAACAATGTCAATAAAATTATTATGTGAAATTCACGATCTTGACCTACAACAAAAATAATCTCCAGTTACTTAACAATATCGCGGCTGTATTTTAGGGTAACGACCGTGTGTGTATACGAAAAGTATACTATAATTAGTTAGGCGCAAGTGTTTACGTCCGATGATTCATTCGACTGAAGTAGTGAGAGTGAATTCAGTATAGTAAAGTGGATGTGGCTTAGAATTACTAGCCCGGTTGAGTTGCTCGCTGAAAAAGTGACCTAACCTACAATTTTTCATATTTGTGCATATATATCACTACATAGTATAAAAAACAAAGTCGCTTTCTCTGTCACTATATCTGTCTATCCCTATGTATGCTTAAATCTTTAAAACTACGCAACGGATTTTGATGCGGTTTTTTTTAATAGATAGAGTGATTGAAGAGGAAGGTTTATATGTATAATAACATCCATTAAATAGTGGAGAAATCAATAATAAATTACAGTTTCCGAAGCGAAGCGAGGGCGGGTCGCTAGTTGGAACACCGGTCACCGTTCTCGTCGAACCCGTCGCTTGCGACGAAGGGCTCGACGAGTAAATTAACTCTCAGACACAGCCCACTGAGTTTCTCGCCCGATCTTCTCAGTGGGTCGCGTTTCCGATCCGGTGGTAGATTCTGCGAAGCACGGCTCTTGCTAGGGCTCGTGTTAGCAACGTCATCAGGTTTGAGCCCCGTGAGCTCACCTACAAACGTTAGGGTTACGCTGAAATAGCCCCTAAGCCTATCGGCTTAGGTAGGAGAAAAAAAAAACAAAAAAAAAAGTTGGAACATAATTGAGACTACGACGAAAATAGTCAAACTGTTCCATTGAGTTTAGTTAGTTACACTACATACTGGTTTGTTGGTGATAAACGTTCGTAAGTCACATGTACATCATCGCGACAGTCAGAACCGCCACCACCCACGGAATCCTGATCATTAACGTCTTTCAACATCGTTACGAACTTAGAATTAAGGACTTGCTTTTAAAGTGCTATTTTCAACTTTATTATTTAGGGGCATAAGGGAACAGTAATTGTGATTTAAATGTGTCTTAAACTAGTATCCGGTAGTTTTTTTTTTTCGTTCACGCTATCAAGCGGTTTGATGTGTCCGTCATACCAACCGCCCGAACTTGTAATAGCACTACACATCTTACAGGTTTAAAAAAGAAGCTAAGTAAAACATTTGTTTAAATGGAATCAGCTACTCAAGCAGTTGGATTTTCGACTCAAACTTCGACTTATTATTTGAACTCCGTATAATTCGCAAAGCAATGTAGTGTAAGATGACTTTTACGAAAATGTCACTTTAAATAATACTCAAGTATCATGATTTGTTTTCACGGAGAGCTAAGAGATTCAAGGACCGCAACCTACAATTTTCTCCGGTTTTATAGTAAACACATAAAAGTACATACATGTACAGTATTCAGATTCACTAAAGTTTAAATTTTAAATTTAGTCAGTTTTTTTTTTAAATCATCGGTCTGCTAGTGCTACCCAAAAGAGAAAAGAATTTAGAAAGAAATGTATTTTCCGAGATAAAAGTTTGAGAAACACTGGCATATGCACCCTAAGCGAGCATCCGGGTTTTTAAAGACGAGTCTACATTCAATAGAGTGCTTTTTCTTGTTAAAGAAATGCTACATTTCGCAATGTGAATGTGTGAATTTTCTTTAAGCAGATTGGAAAACTCGCTGTAGGTACATAATTTAACTTTGCCAATTTTAAGGGAAACGTAGTTAGTACGTATCGGAATTAATTTTAATTATTAAATTCAGACTTTTTTATTTTTGTCTACTTGTATTAGAAAGAAAAATTTAATTCTCGTGGGCGTTTATTTAAACATACGCGCTCAAATTTGTATTTGGTCGAGTAACTTGAGAGTAAAATTTTTTAATTTTAAATTCGTTCCCTTTTTATAATTATATTAAAATTATTTAACGACTACACTATACTATCACCGACGCAACAACCATGAAACAAAAATTCAACGAGGCCTGAAAAATCGTTCAAAGGTACGAACCGACCACAGATTACTTCCATAGCGCACTATCCAAGCATATGGCGCGAAAAATTCTACTAAAACACTAACGCATCTTTTAATTCACTTCACAAAAACACGAGACTGGTTTGAAACAAACAAAAAAAAAAAACGAAATTTTCAAATCGGAACGATAAAATGGCCGCGACCGTTCGCTTGCCGCGCGCCGCATGCACTAATACTGAAAGTCGGCGAGCGCGGGCGTGCAATTCAAACATAACATCGAAATAAACATGGTTTTTTCTACGTTTACTTTCAAAGATACATACATAGTGAGTTCATTTACCATCGCATCTGTTTAACGTTAAAACTTAAGGCAGCTGTGGAAGTGAGGATGACAGTTTGACGGCTCGTGGGTTTTGAATCCTACTAATATTATAAACGCGAAAGTTTATAAGAATGTATGGATGTACATTTGTCACTGTTTCACGCAAAAAGTACTGGATGGATTTTGATGAAACTTTACAATAACATAACTGACACATCAGAATAACATATAGGGTATAATTTTTAAAAATATAGTGTGAATTACCCAGAAAATAACGAAAAGTGTTAAATAAGTAGGAAAACAAACCGCCATATTTTTTTCATAATCAATAATAAATTAAATGTTCCCGAAGCAGAGCGGGGGTGGGTCGCTGGTAGAAACCCACAGACACAGCCCACTGAATTTCTCGCCGAATGTTCTTAGTGGGTCGCTATTCCCATCCGGTGGTAGCATCGGCGAAGCACTGCTCTTGCTAGGGCCAGTGTTAGCAACAACTCCGGTTTGAGGCCCGCGAGCTCACCTACACGCTAGGGTAACGCTGATATAGCCTCTCAAGGCTATCTATATAGGTAGGAAATAAAAAAAATAGAAAATGAAATGATTCTGGACGAGCGTTTGAAATTTGCAACACGAAATAACGTTATCGCGACGTTTTGTTACACTGAATATTCATTAACTTCGCCCCATTATTGTCTCGTTATCATTCCCGATCCTGCGGACAGAATGGAAAGCAGTCGACGTCGCCCAAAACACGTCATCTCGGATCCTCCTGATCCACTAACGGTGCTTTTAGGTACTTCAAGCACCGGTCACCGTTCTCGTCGAACCCGTCGCTTGCGACGAAGGGCTCGACGAGTAAATTAACTCTCAGACACAGCCCACTGAGTTTCTCGCCGGATCTTCTCAGTGGGTCGCGTTTCCGATCCGGTGGTAGATTCTGCGAAGCACGGCTCTTGCTAGGGTTCGTGTTAGCAACATCGTCAGGTTTGAGCCCCGTGAGCTCAACTACTAGTTAAGGTTACGCTGAAATAGCCTCTCAAGGCTCTCAGCTTAGGTAGGATAAAAAAAATAAAAAGATAGAGAAATATATATTATTTTCATTCGATTTTAGTCAGCGGCGTGAATCCAGTGAAATGTGAACAGATTCAATCTCCTGTAGGCAGGCAGCGACTTGGTACGGTAGGCAGCGGCTTGGTTTTGTCTCTGGCGTTGCTGAAGTCCATGGGCATGGGCGACGGTAACCACTCACCATCAGGTGAGCCGTATGCTCGTCTGCCTACAAGGGCAATAATAAAAATATAATGAACAGTTTTAATAAATGAAATTAAATTTTAAATGTGATATTCTATTAAATGTTATTTATCTTACCTATATTTTATTTAAATTATTAAGTGCGCAACAAAGTTCTCGATGTTTGTCAGTAGACGGTTGCAGCAAAAGTACTGGCCAATAATGACAGATCTAAAACCGTGAACCAAACCTAGACATAATAATAAGTTATTAATAACAATAACTGGGAACAAAGCACGACGGTTATCCGGCCCCGATTTAGGATCCCCTGTGTTATGAGTACCAGACTGATAAATAGATAACAAATACCTAAACAAACCAGTTCATCACACAATGTTTGCCCGATGTGGGAATCGAACCAACGACCTTCGACGCAACAGTCAGGGCTGCTAATTAATGCACCACCAAGCATATGGTAATTAAACCGCTTTGACGCATTAGTGATATTGTTGTTGCGTGAAAACGTCTGATTTTATAACCAACTAAGCGAGTCATTTGCGGGAAGTGTTGCTTTTCTTCTTTCGTTCGAAGAAAACGGCTTCTAAGAATCATCGATAGGTCCAAAGACCGACGAGAAACGACGTGTCCTAATCCGAAGTTCCGTCAATGCTCACGACCGTCCGCGTGATGGAAGCCAAAAACACAATATACGACTCACAAGCCGTGTTCGCATTTGGTTCAAAAAACCGAGAGAGCTTAATTGCGGACTTTATAACATTAGTTTTGTTTGACCGCAGTATTAAATGGTTATAACGTTGAATCGAGACAGGTCTTTTGCAATTATCAATAAAATAAACAAAAGATGACTGCCATTGCACCGATGTTCACTCAGTGGAGGGTATTTGCAAATAATAACAAGAAAATATTTCATTTGAAAACCATTTTAAATATAACTGATATTCGCATACGGATTGATCAACATTAGATTCGAATTTAATGTAATCTATATATTATATTCAGAAAATTTTCCACCGATGCAGAATTCAACTAAATCCACTTATAGCATGAAGCTTGGAGTTCAAAATGGCGCGGCGTCCGCGACGGAATTAGAAAAATATTTCAGCGGAGAAACTTGTTTTTGGTTTTTATTGAACCACAAAAGGATTCTTTCAGGGGACGACGAAAACAAAAGCGAACCATGCCTCGAATATTCAACGTATTCTATTAATGGTTAGCATTTAAATTGAAATTAGTGCTATCGACTTTTTAAGTGGTATCATTCATTTTCTATCAAATAATTAATCGAAGTCTTCATTAGACTTTGATTTTACTGCCTGTGTGAGTAGGTACGGATCATATAAAGGTGAGTGATCATCGTTGCTCATGGATTTCATTAGGTCAGTAGCTTTTTTTTTATTGCCCTTGTAAGCAGACGAGTATATGGGCCCACCTGATGGTGAGAGGTTACCGTCGCCCATGGACAAGTCGCTGCCTACAGTTAAGTACACTCCACAAGCCTCGTTTGAAGAAGGACAAGTCATAGCGCTTTCGGGAAACACCGTGAAGGGGAGCTCATTCCAAAGCCGTATGGTACGTGGCAAAAAAGATCTCTGGAAATGCACTGTGGATGAACGCAGCGGCTCCAGGTAGTATGGATGAACTCTACTCCGGTGGCTGGCAGTGTGATAGTAAAAACGAGATGATGGAATCATTTCAAAAAATTCCTCAGAGCGCTAGGGTAAAAGCCAAGCAGCCTGTCTCCTTGCAGATATACTAGTCAACAACTGATCGTAGAGTGTATAATAAAAAAAATCCAACTCACACCAATAAATTCCTTTAGTCTCCGCTAAATTATTTCACAACATAATACGAGTAAGACATACGAGATGGCGAGTGTCAGTCGATCGCGTAATGAGGTTGACGAAGCCACGCTCTGTATATTCACACCGGTATTGACTACACATCGACAAGCCGTTCAAAGCTAAGCAGAAGATTAACAATTTATAAATATAGCGACACGAATCTTTTCAAATCATAGACAATTATTAGGTAGGTACTCAATTAAAAGAGAAGCATATTTTTTTCGGTTGGGCTCAAAATATTATTATTTGCATGATAACCCAATTTACAAAAGTTGTTTTTTTTCTCTACCTATTCGCTGGTAGCCTGAAGGGCTATTCTTGCTGCGCCCGGATGGGTAGGTGAGCTCACGGGCTCGACTTGAGAGAATTTGCTAACACTAGAACACTAGCCCTAGCAAGGGCAGTGCTTCGCAGAATCTACCATTGGATCGGAATCGCGTTCCATTGAGAAGATCCGGTGAGAAAATCAGCAGGCTGATATAAGGGCTAGGTTAATTGGGTCGCTCAGATATCAACAAATTCCACCCTCGCTGGCTCAGACAGGTGAAACCGGAAAGGCCTTCGGGCCACCAGTAATACTGATTCACAAATGCGTGAAATCGCAGAGCCCAGCGCCTTCCGATCTTATATTATTGTACCTTTTTATTAGTTTAATCGTACATTATGTTATCGAGAAACACTTCCGGCCTCACATAATAAATTATTTACGAACTTAGGAAATACATAGAACTTATTATTGTCTTATAATATAATTATTAATTTCATAATCAAGTAAATAGTTCATTCATATTTCTTTATACTTATAATATTTTATTGGCGCATTCCGCTTGACAGCTTCCGGCGCAATAAGCCTTAATATTATATATGTTACATAATTCGATATTATTAAATAATAATTGTACGTAAATAATCAGCAGAATAATTAAGGTAAACAATGTTTAATATTACCTACTAAGTTTGTATTAAATTAGGTCAAGATGATTGTATAAATACCGGCGGTTAGCATATCTCTGTTGCATTCGTATTCTACCCGCCGTAACGTGTACAAAAGAGAATATATTAATTCGTGTGGACGTAAAGTGTCTCAATTGTCGCCGCCACCCTGAGGATCCATTTATAATTAATTGTTTTATATAGTTTATTACAGTTTTTTTTACATGTAATTATAGTTTTTTCACTAGTAATAGGTAATTATTTATATTATTTTCATCAGTAATTCGATTCGTGCTGTAAAACTTGGAACATTATTCCAATTTCGCAAATGTTATTGTTTTGCGACTCAAAATATATGGTTATACAAGAGTTTTTAACGTTATCAAAGGATGACAGGATAGTAAAGTTGGCTGTCTAGCATCTAGTTTTACTCTTATTTGAAATATCTATCCTCAGAAAAGTATGAATGGTTGATTTTGTATCTCAGTTGGGACGGTTGGGACACTAATCAGACTGTTCTTCAACTTCCAAACCTCACCACCGCCTTTTTTTATCAGAAGAGCAATTGTTTCAAAACGATTGCGCTGTATGTGGTAGGACCTCTTGTGAGTCCGCACGGGTAGGTACCACCACCCTGCCTATTTCTACCGTGCGTTTCGGTTTGAAGAGTGGGGCAGTTTTTGTAACTATACTGAGACCTTAGAACTCATATCTCAAGGTGGGTGGCGCGTTTACGTTGTCGACCCACTTAACATCAGGTGGGCATATGAGCTCGGCCACCCATCTAAGCAATAAAAAAAGAAGAAAAATCTATTCGAAACGATTGCTCTTTTGCACGATTGCATGGAATATCGGATTCTTGTAACAGACTGCATCGCCAATCG